GGCGATCCAGAGGATGTACGCGGAGCAGAGCCAATCCTGGAAAGTCTCTTGAATACGTCTGAACAGAGCGCGAGAGAGAGAGAGAGAGAGGGAGAGAGAGAGAGAGAGAGAGAGACGGATAGGGATAAAGTGGGACAGGGAGAGAGGGGAGAGGAGAGGGGAGATTTTGGCTCAGGACGATCCTCCTACTGCTCTTGATCGAAGCCAAGTCTGGAATCTGGCTCCTGGAACAGCCCAACTCCTCGCTCCTTTTTGAGTCAGATAGATTCCGATGGTTCGTGCATCACCTCGACAGCATGAATATGAGAGATTCTTTGCAGCGTTGTTTCGGAAAGTGGGAATGTGTACCGACTTGTTGCAGACCCTGTGTCTTGTGCCTGAGGTATTCAAACAGAAGTTTTACATGAAATTCTTTGGCCATCCCAATCCGAAGCCAACCCTGGTTGTGGCTAATTCTCCGAAGATTATTCTGCTGCAACATCCAACCATGAAGCTCGCAGACTTGAAGTGTGAGAAGAAGACGATGCTTAGAGGAGTTCGCAAGACCAATGGAAAACCCTCGTATCAAGGATCCAAGGAGCTCAAGGACACCCAGTTCTTCGGTAGCAAATATCGAACTACGTAGAGCAGTGTATACTGTGAAAGCTACCCAGCATCTACATAGCTCGTCCGGCTGAGGATTTATCCTATGCGCTTCGCTCTTAAGTGCCTCGAGATTCAGCAGGAGGCCCGCAATGATGGCAGGGATCCAGCGCCGGAGGCTCCATGGTTAATGTTTACCCACCTTAGTGCAATCAGGGGTTCAGCTTTCCCGAACTAAATTGATCAGGTTGACCTTCGGACCGACCTCCGAGACATGTATGCTGGGCTAGCCTGGGGCGATGTCTGGGAAGATGCTGATATGGCTGAGTTGCTGATCTATCTTCGAGGATCCACATGCCTCCGTATTCCCGAAACGTGGCGACCCGTTTTGCCGACGCATGTGCCTGTGTGTGGCTAGTTCAAGGGTTCATGTGCGTTTTCCTAAAGTCATGTGCGTTTTCTACATATAGGCTGGGGGGTGCCCCGTCCGAAGGGCGGCTTTTCGCGTCCGAGGTGCGTCTTCCAGCGTCCGGCCCGGACCCGTCCGCTGGTCATGTGCGTTTTTATATAGCGTGACCCTTTTTTAAACCGTCCGCCCCGTCCGGCCCCATCCGGCCCCGTCCGCCCCGTGTGGGCCGTGTCCGCCCCAACCACCCCCAACCGACCCCAACCAACCAAACCCGGCCCTAGGCAACCGTACTTTCCATGCAAAACTTTAAGGTTTAGCGGTGTGCACATGGTTCCGGTCCAAACTACCAACCGGCAGCATAGATAGTCATCCCTTGCACCAATTCGCGACTCCACTCCTTTGTCTGCTGTAATCTAGTCATTGAGTTAGTTGATATTACCCAGGCCAGAAATGGGGCCCAGTTTTGGACAACTGCCACACACATGTGCACAGAGAGCGCTCAATTCGATGTGTACGATTTTGACCGTATGAATCTGCACAGGTGGGCTCCTGAAGCAAAAGTAGTTGAATCAGCTTCGATTGTGGATCGTGTGTCAACAGCTTGCTTGAACAGTGATTGTAGGGATTCTAGTGTATGAGTGCAATGTGACTTGTCTTTCTTTTGCAGGGTTTTTGTTCTCGAGATTATCTAACTCTGTCCCAACGCCTTCTCCACGATGGCCACTGAAGCTGATCAGAAGGCCGCGCCTGAGAAACTTCTCAGCCAAGCATGGAGCTCGAGCACCCTCCAAGCCGGGATTGATACTATAAATCTTCAGCAGGTTAAGGTCGAGTGCCCAGACGAAGATGCAGAGCTGGCCGCCATGGAACTTCAACTCGAGGACTGCTGCCGAGCATCCCTTAAAGATATTGGTGCAAGTGAGTCGCAGGAGCTGCGCAAGAGGAGCCGCATGCAGAGAAGCCCAGAAGCCCCGTCTCCGGGGACTGCGGCACTGATCCCTCCTGGTGCACAGCAGTCAGCAACAACCCCGTTGAAGGTGAACAAGAAGCAGGCTTTGGGCTTGCAGGCCGTTCAGGAGCAACAGGACGATCAGCCGGCCCCCAGCCCTCCGAAGGTTGACACACCGCAAGTGAGGAAGACCTTGTTCGCTTCTTAGCAGCAAAACCCAGCAAAGCCAGCCTGAAACTTTTTGCCGAATCGAATCACACCCTCGACACTGCAGGCTCAGTCCCCTGGGTCTGGCGGCACCGGGGAGCTTGCTGACACCAGTGTTTCAGAGGTTGAGGAGTTGCGCCGCATGATGGAACGAATGCAAATTGCTATGGCAGCTAAAGACGAGCAGCTGAAGAATTTGCAGAATGCCGCCACTGCCGCCCAGACGCACGAGCAGGCTCAGGACGATGAGAAGGCAGACGACGCCTTGCGCAAACGTCTGCAGCGTTTGTGCGAGAGGAAGAAGAACGGGTCCCTCTCAACAGCATCGATCGATTCTTCGAATAGTTCATGGCAGTGAACTGACAGCACAGCTTTGTGGGTTGCCTATCTTAGGTCGTTGAACGTTCCGAAGGAGGTCCATGAGTTGTGGATGAAGGGGGGCGAGGACCGGGCCGAGCTCCGACGTCGCCTTAAGGACGCCAACCTGGACAAGGACCAGCAGCTTCTTCGCCGGCGCTTGCAGTCAGCATCTTTACCTGAGTAGCACGTCAGGAAGTGTTCATCAAGAGTGTCAAGGTTCTCCTTAAGCAGCGGGAGGCCGTGAAGTATCGGGTCAAGGCCCAGTGGTGCTCCGAGGATAAGATGCGAGACACTCTCAAGTTGAAGGAGAGACTGGCCTTATGATTTAGTTGTGCACTGTCTTGGTCGTTGGTCTTGGTGTAGCTTTTTTATGTTCTTGGGGCAGCTCAGGGCACGAATCAAAGCTGTGAAGGAGTACTGTGACGCCCGGCCCGGCTACACAACGCAACTGAGCTACGCTGGTTTTTATAACCCTCATGTAGCCCTCGTACCGTAATCCCCGCCGAAACCCAGAAACTCCTACAACCCCGAATTCCGGTTGTTGAACTCCAACACTACACATGGACATCTACCTCCTGTTTTCAGTGACATGTGCGTCTGTGTGTACAAGGGTCGACAAACATGTAGTATGTCAGCATTTACATGTATATGTGTATGCATGTACGTGTGTATGCATGCATGCAAGCATGCATACATATGTACGTATGCATGTATGTATGT